CTGAAGAGTTGGCCTCAGAAATTGTTTTAGTTCTGGGCTGACAGGGAGTCCAGGGGCCATGCTTTCTAGGGTTCCTCCAGTCTCAGTCAGACCATTAAGTCTGGTCTTCTTACTAGAATTTGAATTCTGCAGTCCACCTTTCTCCTGCTCCATCAGGGATTCTCTGTTGTGTTCCCTGTCAGGGCAGTTATTGGTGGTGTCCAGGTACCATCTAGTTCTTCTGGTCTCAGGCTGATGAAGTCTCTGGTTTCTGTGGCCCTTTCTGTCTCTTGGGCCACTACTTTCCTTGTGACTTTAGTGTTCTTCATTCTCCTTTACTCCAGGTGGTTGGGACAAATTGATGCATCTTAGATGGCTGCTTGGAAGCTTTTAAGACCCCAAACACTACTCACCAAAGTAAGATGCAGAACATTTTCTTAATAAGCTTTGTTATGCCAAATGACCTAGATGTCTCCTGAAAGCATGGTCCTCAGGCCCCTACCCCTGCTACTCTGTCCCTCAAAGTGTTTGATTGTATTCAGGAAACTTCTTAGCTTTGGTTTAATCCAGTTGTGCTGACTTCCCCTGTGCTGTCCTTTCCTTCACCTAAGATAATTCTTGTCTACTATCTAGTTAGTGAATAACCCTTACCCTCCCTTCCCATCCTTGTAACTATCAAAGAATGTTTTCCTCTGTTTAAACCTTTTCTTGAGTTCTTATAATAGTGGTCTTATACAATATTTGTCCTTTTATGACTGACTAAATTCATTTAGCATAATGCCCTCCAAATTCTTCCATGTTATGTTTCACGGCTTCATCGTTGTTCTTTATTGTTGTGTAGTATTCCATTGTGTGGATATACCATAATTTGTTTATGCGTTTGTCCGTTGATGGGCACCTACATTTTTCCCATCTTTTTGCTATCGAGAACAGTGCTGCAGAGAACATGGATGTGCATATATCTATTCGTGTGACAGCTCTTATTTCTCTAGGATATATTCCAAGGTGCAGGATTGCTGGATCGTATGGTTTTTCTGTTTCTGACTTTTTAAGGAAGCGCCAAATTGATTTCCAAAGTGATTGTACCATTTTACATTCCCCCCAACAATGTATAAGTGTTCTAGTCTCTCCACAACCTCTCCAGCATTTATTATTTTGTGTTTTTTGGATTAATGCTAGCCTTGTTGGGGTGAGATGATATCTCATTGTAGTTTTGATCTGCATTTCTCTAATCGCTAATGATCATGAGCATTTCTTCATGTGTCTGTTAGCTGCCTGAATATCTTCTTTGGTGAAGTGCCTGTTCATATCCTTTGCCCATTTTTTAACTGGGTTATTTGCTTTTTGTTGTTGAGGTTTTGCAGTACCTTGTAGATTTTAGAGATTAGATGCTGATCAGATTTGTCATAGCCAAAAATTTTTTCCCCAGTCTGTAGGTTGTCTGTTTACTCTTTTGGTGAAGTCTTTTGATGAGCATAACTGTTTGATTTTTCGGCACTCCCAGTTATCTAGTCTTTCTTCTGTGCTTGTACATTGTTACTTATGGTTCACAGTCTGTTTATGCCATGTATTAGGGCTCTTGTGTTGTCCCTATTTTTTCTTTGATGATCTTTATTGTTTTTGATTTTATATTTAGGTCTTTGATCCATTTTGAGTTAGTTTTTGTGCCCTCACCTTGTTCTGACTGATGATATTGAACTTTTCCATCATCTCTTTTCACAGATGTTGTCAATTTGGTTCCTGTGTATTCTGTCTTGTGAGGTCCACGTGTATAGTTGCCGTTTATGTTTTTGAAAAACGGTATTTGCAATGAAGAAGTCGTTGGTCTTGCAAAATTCTATCATGTGATCTTTATATGTACCCTGTGAATTCTGTACATGACCATCATTCCCTTTTCAACATTGGCTGCTAGGAAGGGTTAGTGGCTACGGTGTCATCTCTGATAATTGAGTACGTTATCAGATGTGTCTTTTTCCCAACTCTGTTCTATGTCTGAACTTTTATATACCTTCTTTCCCTCCACTTAAAATTTACACTATCATGTTGTACATTATGTGTATTTATAAGCCACCTTAAATCCTTTTTGGAATAAGTAAAAGCATTAATAGAGTCAATAAAATAAGGTATACAAGGACATATAAATGTGTGGATCCAACGAAGAAGGAGCAGCTGCATCTACTTAGGGAAGTCAGAAAATGCTTTGGAGAGGGAGCCACATGAGCTGAGACTTGAAGAACATTAGGGGTTGTCACTATGCATTGGAATCGACTCAGTGGCAGTGGGTTTCTACTGTAATACTTGTAGAGAGAACATTCTGGGTGAACACAAGAGCACATATAAAAGCCTTGAAGTCAGAGAGCCTGACATGCTCAGGGAACTACAAATAGCTTCATATGACTGGAGTTTAAGCTTAGAGGACATGGAGAGGAGACTGATCTGATAGGTCTACCCAAATTGGGAAAGACTTTGAATGGTATGTAAAGGAGGAGCCATGCAGGGATTTTGAACAGATGATCAGATTTTCATGTTAGAAAGACCACTCCTGGCGGTACTTTTGAGGCCTAGATTGAAGAAGGATGAGAAGTTAGATAGGACAGCTGTTAAGGAGCCTTCTCAGTCATCTAGGCAGGAAATCATGGGGACCAGAATTACAGCAATGGCAGTGTAGATGGAATATGAGGTCAGATTTGAAAACTATTTAGAAAACGAGTGATGGGACTTAGCGATAGATGTAGGGGATATAAAAGAAAGACAAATCTAGATTATCTCCTAGCTTTCTGATGCAGACCACTGGTATATGATGATGACATTCACCCAAACAGGGAGTGAAGGAGAAGGTAAGGGAAGGTTTGGTAAGGGAAAATGATCGATTAGATTTTGGACATTTGACTTTGAAGTGGCTGAATGACACGCAAAAGTTTCTATCAGGCAAATATACGTACATACACACATATATATTATGTGTGTGTGTGTGTATCTTGCGCTGATTAAGGGATCTTGTCTTGAGATATAGATTTGGAAGTAATCAGGGTATAGAGGTGTTTGAAACCATAGGGGTGGGAGAATCTCCCTGAGAGAGCAGAATGAGAAAAGGATCAAGGGATAGGGCCCTGGGAAAAATAACATTTAAGGGACTGGCAGCGGAAAAGTGCATCACAGAAGAGCACACAGAAAGGCAGGAGGAGAGCCAGGAGACACGGTGTCATTGAACTCAAGGAGGAATGAGTCAAGTAAAATGAAGAATAAAATGCCCACTGGATTTAGCACCCAGAATGTCGAGAGTTGACCTTATACTGAGGTATTTCAGTGGAGTGCTGAGAGCAGGAACTAGATTGAATTTAGCTGAGGGGTAAACAGGAGTTAAAGAAGTAGAGACAAGTGGATTAGATTATTCTCTCTAGAAGATTAACTGAAAGGAAGCAATAGCTGGAGGAGCACTAGTCAGGGGAATATTCCTTGTTTTATTTTTAAACTTTTGGTTGTTTATACACAGAGGGAAGAAAGCCATTGAGGAGAGGTTAAGAAAAGAGGGGTGAAGTGATGGAGCCAGATTCTGGAAGAAGCAGAAAGAAGGCATGGATTAAGAATTCAAGTGGATATTTCAGTCTTGGATAGAAAGAGAGATAAGAAGGAGGTGAGGATAGGCAGAGATGCAAGTAAAGTGGCTGGTCCAAGCCTCATTTACAACACACATAAATCTGAGCAGTCTTTTAAAAAAAAATTAACATATATATAGATTATAACTGAAAGAGAAATAGAAATCAGAAAAGATAATTTATACATGTACAATCCTACCTACTAATAAATCATCTGTTTTCATTATTCTGTGTTGTCTTTGAGCTCTTGTCCATGTGTCACAAGTTTTTATAGTTATAAATATAACATAGATGTATTTTTCTGAGGTTTTTTAAATTTAATAAAAGCTTTGTAGAGATATAATTCACGTACCGTAAAATGCAACCTTTCAATGAGTACAATTTGGTGGTTTTTGGAATTTTCAGAGTTGCGCAATCATCACCATTATCTAGTTTCAGAACATTTTCATCACGCCAAAATGAAACCCTATGCCTGTTAGCACTAATGAGGATTAGACTCTTCCCTCTCCACAAGCACTGATAACTACTAATCTACTTTCTGTTTTCTATTGATTTGCCTATCTTGGACATTTCCTATAATATGTGGCCTTTTGGTACTGGATTCTTTCACTTAGCATAATGTTTTCAAGGTTTATCCACAAATAATATCCACAAAGCCAGATAATATCTTCATTTTTAAATATTTAAAAAGTTTTGAAACAAACAGAAAATTACAAAAAATTTGGATAGAGAAAATTTTCTTCCTCTGGAACCATTTCAGAGCAAATTGCCAACCTGATGCCCTATGGTGTATATTTCCTACAAACAAAGATACTCTCTTACACCACCACAACACAGCCATCAAAATCGGGAAGTTAACACTGGTACATTGATACACTACTACCATCTACTCCTGAAATCCGGTTCAGAATCATGTTGCATTTAATTGTCATGTCTTTTTAGCCTCCTCCAACATATAATTTTGCATCCTACTTTTTAACTTAATGTATCATGATAGTTCTTTTGATTTATTGTGTAAATATGATGTTAGGATATTGGATTCTGCTCAAATGTAGGCCTTTAATCTGTAACTTTCCCTCCTTTGTTTTATGACATTTTAAAAAATGCTGCGTGACAGTTTTACCCTCACCTCCAAAGGTGGGGCATCTGAGAAGTTAATTGTACTTGTCCTTGAAGAAAACCTTTCGTACCCGTATTCCAACCTCTTTTATCTCCTCCTTAGTCCCAACTTTTCCAATAAGCGTCAGTGATAGCACGGTAGACCTTTCTCAAAGGAATGTGGTGATGAATGAAAACAAAGCCCCCCTCTGCACCTCCCCTTCCCTGTGAGAGCTTTGTATAAATGTGATTGATGCGTTACCTTTACTGACTCAGGTCAGCTCTCCCCTTGCATGACAATGTTTCTGTTCTGTTGCTTCCGCCTAGGTCAGCAACAGCCCCCTGTCAGAAGAGGCTGTCCTGGGATTTGAATATGGGATGAGCATTGAAAGTCCTAAATTACTGCCCCTCTGGGAGGCTCAGTTTGGCGATTTCTTCAATGGTGCCCAGATCATCTTTGACACGTTCATCTCTGGAGGTTGGTATTAGTTTGTGGATGTGTAACAGATGCATGGCAACAGCCTCACGAGGACAGTTGAATGAAAAGGATTGTTGCTGCTTATGAGGCTCCTGTGTACTACTGCATCTCTAGAGAGTTACCCAGTGGGGTGTAGTGACTATCAGACAGTTAAGTTAGCCACTGGGAAGAGCATTTAAATCTGCCAGCAGGAGGATTAGGGGACCACACAGCTCCTATGCAGGGAGCACCTGTCCATCTCATGGGGAATGTTCATGGCTGTAGGAAGCAGTGGATACACTTGCTAGCTCCTAGGCTGTTTGACTTTTGGGTCTGTTCTTGGGGTACATTGAATAACTACAGACTGAATAATTGATAAGTAATGGTGCAAAAGGTTAAGCGCTCAACTACTAGCTGAAAGATTGGCAGTTTGAAACTACTCAGGGGTGCCTCAGAAGACAGATCTGGCAGTCTGCTTCCAAAAGGTCACAGCCTTGAAAACCCTATGGGGCAGTTCTACTGTGCACACATGGGGTCGCCATGAGTCAGAATTGACTTGATGGCAACTAATAACAATAACAACAACAATGGTGACATAGTGAGGATTTTTGGTGAGACTGGATGAAAATCAGCTTCCCTCCGTCCCAGAACACTCAAGTATGTGAAAGTTGTAAAACTGTGTGTCTTTATTGTTATTATTATCATTTACAAAAGCAGTACTTGCTTATTGTAAAAATGAAAATTATATGAAGTAAAAAGTCAAAAATCTCCTCCCAGACCCTCAATCCCATTTTATGGGTGTAACCACTGTTCATTGTTGAGTGTACACTTCAGATCTTTACTGTAGTTGTATTTCCCTATAACTTTGTAGTTGTGAGGAAGAAAACTGCCTTAAGTTGACTGGACTTTTGACATATGCAAAGACTATTTTCTGCAAAGACTAACCTGTGTTTGCCACCCTCAGTTTGAGGGCAGTGGCCTGTGTTGTAAATTGTGCAATGAGGAAAAGTAGCAGCTGCCCATTCTTGGTAAGAGCTGTGCCTGAGGTGAAATCAAATGGTGCATGCTGTCCTAGAAGCCGGGACTGTCATCTTTGAATTTGTCTGTCACTTGCTTAAGCCCAGTACATGTGTCATCAGAGGCTTTCACCCAGTAAAATGGATTTTTTCCTCTAAGTATGGCGTGAAAGTTGTAAAAAATGAAATGGAACACATAGACAGCAATATCCTAGGCATTAGTGAGCTGAAATGGACTGTTATTGGCCATTTTGAATCAGACAGTCATATGGTCTACTATGCCAGGAATGACAAATTGAAGAGGAATGGCGTCACGTTCATCCTCAAAAAGAACATTTCAAGATGTGTCCTAAAGTACAACACTATCAGTAATAGGATGATATCTATATGCTTACAAGGAAGACCAGTTAATGTGACTATTATTCAAATTTACGCACCAACCACTAAGGCCAAAGATGAAGAAATTGAAGATATTTATCAACTTCCGCAAGATGAAATTGATCAAACTTGCAATCAAGAAGCATTGATAATTACTGGCAATTGGAATGTGAAAGTTGGAAACAAAGAAGAAGACTTTGTAGTTGGAAAATATGTCCTTGGTGATAGAAATGACGCCAGAGGTTGCATGAGAATTTTGCAAGACCAGCGACTTCTTCATTGCAGATACCTTTTTTCAACAACAGAAACAACTAGTATACACGTGGACACAAGAATCAAATCGACTACATCGTGGAAAGAGATGATAGAAAGGCGCAATATCATCAGTCAGAACAAGGCAAGGGGCAGATTGAAACAGACCATCAATTGCTCATGTGCAAGTTCAAGTTGAAGCTGAAGAAAATTAGAACAAGTCCACCAAAGCCAAAGTATGACAATGAGTATATCCCACCTGAATTTAGAGACTGTCTCAATAGTAGATTTGACACATTGAACACTAATGACGAAAGACCAGATGAGCTATGGAATGAAATCAAGGACATCATACAGGAAGAAAGCAAAAGATCATTAAAAAGACAGGAAAGAAAGAAAAGACAAAAATAGATGTCAGAAGAGATTCTGAAAGTTGCTCTTGAACATACAGTAGCAAAGGGGAAAGGAAGAAATGATGAAGTAAAAGAGCTGGACAGAAGATTTCAAAGGGTGGCACGAGAAGACAAAGTAAAGTATTATAATGAAATGTGCAAAGACCTGGAGTTAGAAAACCAAAACTGAAGAACACGCTCGACATTTCTCAAGCTGAAAGAACTGAAGAAAAAAAGTGAACCTTAAGTTGCAATCTTGAAGGATTCTACAGGGAAAATATTAAACGATGCAGGAAACATCAAAAGAAGACGGAAGGAATATACAGAGTCACTGTACCAAAAAAGGATTGGTCGATGTTCAACCATTTCAGAAGGTAGCATATGATCAAGAACCAATGGTACTGAAGGAAGAAGTCCAAGCTGCACTGAAGGCATTGGTGAAAAACAAGGTTCCAGGAATTGATGGAATATCAATTGAGATGTTTCAACAAACAGATGCAGCGCTGGAAGCACTCACTAGTCTATGCCAAGAAATTTGGAAGATAGCTACCTGGCCAACTAACTGAAAGAGATCCATATTTGTACTTATTCCAGAGAAAGGTGATCCAACAGAATGCAGAAATTATTGAACAATATCAGCAGTACATCAACAGGGAACTGCCAGAAATTCAAGGTGCATTTAGAAGAGGACATGGAACGAGGGATATCATTGCTGATATCAGATGGATCCTGGCTGAAAGCAATGTATACCAGAAAGATGTTTACCTGTGTTTTATTGACTATGCAAAGGCATTCAACTGTATAACAAATTATGGATAACATTGCGAAGAATGGGAATGCCAAAACACTTAATTGTGCTCGTGAGCAACCTGTACATAGACCAAGATGCAGTCATTTGAACAGAATGAGGGGATACTTCGTGGTTTAAAGTCAGTAAAGATGTGCATCAGGGTTGTATCCTTTCCATACTTTTTCAATCTGTATGCTGAGCAACTATTCCAAAAAGCTGGAGTATATGAAGAAGAATGCAGCATCAGGATTGGAGGAAAACTCATTAACAATCTGCAGTATGCAGATGACACAACCTTGCCTGCTGAAAGTGAAGAGGACTTGAGGCACTTACTGATGAGGATCAAACACTACAGCCTTCAGTATGGATTACACCTCAACTTAAAACAAAAATCCTCACAACTGGACCAATAAGCAACATCATGATAAACGGAGAAAAGATTGAAGTTGTCAAGGATTTCATTTTACTTAGATCCACAATCAACGCCTATGGAAGTAGCAGTCAAGAAATCAAAGGCAACATTGCATTGGGCAAATCTTCTGCACAAGACGTCTTTAAAGTGTTAAAAAGCAAAAATGTCACTTTAAAGACTAAGGTGCGCCTGATCCAAGCCATGGTGTTTTCAGTCGCCTCATATGCATGTGAAAGCTGGACAATGAACAAGGAAGACCAAAGAAGAATTGATGCCTTTGAATTATGATGTTGGCAAAGAATATCGAATATACCATGGACTGCCAGAAGAATGAACAAATCTGTCTTGGAAGAAGTGCAGCCAGAATTCTCATTAGAAGCAAGGATGGCTAGACTTTGTCATTAGAAGGAAGGATGTCAAGACTTCGTCTCGCATACTTTGGACATGTTATCTGGAGGGACTAGTCCCTGGAGAAGGACATCATGCTTGGTAAAGTAAAAGGTCGGCGAAAAAGTGGAAGACCCTCAAAGAGATGGATTGACACCGTGGCTGCAACAATGGGCTCAAGCATAACAACGATTGTGAGTATGGCGCAGGACTGGGCGGTGTTTCATTCTGTTGTACATAGGGTCACTGTGAGTTGGAACTGACTCGACTGGAACCTGACAACAGCAACAAGTATGGCATGACAAATGCTAGAAACTGTATGTTATCAAGATAGCTTTAGGGGACCTAGCAGCACACTAATATTTGTTATCACTAGTCAAGTCATGTCAGACTGTTTTGTTCCTGTTTTATAGAGTTCTTAGTCTATACATCACACTTTTCCAGGAGAGGCCAAGTGGCTCCTACAAAGCGGCATTGTTATTCTCCTTCCACATGGCTATGACGGGGCTGGCCCAGAGCACTCATCCTGCCGAATAGAGCGTTTCTTGCAGGTATGTTGAATGCCTTCTGGATTCCCAGAAGCTTTTTCCTACTTCCTAGGTACTTTGAAAGACACAGAACTTTCTCCTGAAAATAAAAGTGTAAGACATTGTAATATTTGAATAAAACAGGTCCAAAGTAATGTCAACATTTTTTGGAAAAATAATGCCTTAGGTATATTAGTTTTTCTACCTAACTAGGTTTTAGGTTATTTATGTACTTTTTATTTTCTTTTTTGTATGTATTAGGTATATGTGATTTTATGGCAGTTGAAGTACCTCAGATCAGTGGTTCCTGTATTTGTCGTTTTGTAATTGACTTATTTCTCTCAGAATAATGTCTTCAAGTTCTGTCCATGTTGTAGCATGTATCAAGACTTCATTTCTCCTTCTGGCTAAGTTGTAATCCATTGTATGTATGTACTACATTTGGTTTATCCATTCATCTGTTGATGGGCGTGTAGGTTGTTTCTACCTTTTGTCTGTTGTGAATAGGGCTGCAATGAACATTGGCTTACAAGTATCTATTTGAGTCTCTGTTTTCAAGTCTTTTGGGTATATACCTAGGAGTGGAATTGCTGGGTCACATGGTAGTTCTATTTTTAGTATTTTGAAGAACAGCCACATTGTTTTCCACAACAGCTGTACCATTACAGCGTTCCCACCAGCAATGGACGAAGGTTCCAATTTTATCACATCCTTGCAAACATTTTTTTTTTTTAAATCTTAGACATCCTAATGGGAGTGAAATGTATCTTATTTGATTTGCATCTCTCTGATGGCTAATGATGTTGAGCATCTTTTCATGTGTTTAGTGGCCATTTGAATATCCTCTTTGGTGAAATGTCCTTTGCCCATTTTTTGATTGGGTTGTCTTTTTGTTGTTAGTTGTCAAAGTTTTATGCATATTTTGGTTATTAGATTCTTATTAGAGACGTGGTTTCTGAAGACAGTCTCCTAGTTGGTGGCTGGTCTTTTTACTTATTTGGCTGGTAAAATCTTTTGATGAACGAGTTTTTAATTTTTATGAGATCTTATTTATTTATTTTGTCTTTTGCTGTTTGTGCTTTTGTTATTATATTAGATAATTTATTGTTAAAAGCTAGGCCCAACAGCCTTGTCCCTGCATTTTCTTCTAAGAATTTTATGGTTTTAGTTTTCACATTTAGGTCCTTAATCCATTTTGAATTTGTTTTTGTATTTAGTGTGAGGCATGGATCCTGTTTCATTTTTCTGCATGGGGAAATACAATTTTCCCTATAACATTTATTGAAGAGACTCTTCTTTCCCCCATTGAATGGACTTAGCTCTCTTTTCAAAAATCAGTTGGCCATAAATGTGTTTGTTTTTGTTTTAAACTTAGGAAAAATAACAACATGTTTGTATGATGGTAGGAGTGATTCAGTAGAGAGCAAAAATAAAAAATGATGTAGGAGAGAGGGTAGAATAATGGAAATGATTTCCTTGAGTGGGCAAGATAGGATGGGATCTAGTACACAAAGGGGTGGATCAGTTTTAGAGAAGAGCATGGTGAGTTCGTCTAGGATAATAATTGAAAGGTGCAGATGATAGTACATGAGTAGGTGTGGTAGGGGCCTGAGGAAATACTCTGAAGTCATTAGCTGAGAGTGATGTTGAAGGAGGGTGTGATGGGGGCTTGAAAGGTGTGAAATAATCATTTGAGAGAGGAAGACAATGAGTAGATTAGGAAAATATAGTATTAACAGTCCAGCAGCATTAAGGGCCCGCTTGAGATTCATGGTCAAGATGTTAAAGTGAGATCAGTCAATGTGATTATGTGTTTTCTTCAGCTACTTTCCCTGCACAGGCGCTGTCATGGGTTGAATTGTGTCCTCCAAAAATATGTGTCAACTTGGTTAGGCCATGATTCCCAGTATTGTGTGGTTATCCTCTATTTTGTGATTTTGCTATGTGTTATAAATCATAATTTCTGTCCGTGGTTAAAGAGGATTAGGGTGGGATGTAATACCCTTGCTCAGGTCATATCCCTGATCCAATGTAAAGGGAGTTTCCCTGGGGTGTGGCCTGCACCACCTTTCGTCTTATAAGAGATAAAAGGAAAGGGAAGCAAGCAGAGAGTTGGGGACCTCATGCTACGAAGAAAGCAGGGCTGGGAGCAGAGCATGTCCTTTGGATCTGAGGTTCCTGCACAGAGAAGCTCCTAGACAAAGAAAAGACTAAGGACAAGGACCTTCCTCCAGAGCCGACAGAGAAAGTCTTCCCCTGAAGCTGACACCCCGAGTTGGGGCTTGTAGCCTACCAGACTGCGAGAGAATAAATTTCTCTTTGTTAAAGCCATCTGCTTGTGGTGTTTCTGTTATAGCAGCACTAGGTGGCTAAGACTGGCGCATATGTGGAATATGTAGAAAATTGGGACTAACTAGGGTTATGGTTTGGAAATCCTGGTGGTGTAGTGATTAAACGCTGTAGCTGCTTACCAAAAGCTCTGCAGTTCAAATCCACTAGGCGCTTCTTGGAAACTCTATGGGGCAGTTCTACTCTGCCCTACGGGGTTGCTATGAGTCGAAATCGACTTGACAGCAACAGGTTTGGGGTTTTTATTTTTTTTAGGGCTATGGTTTAGAGTGATAAAGGATCAAGGAAGTCAAGGGTAAAGAGAAAAGAATGATTGTAATTATCGACTATGGAATTTAAGCTAGGTAAACAGGCAGGAGGAGATGTAATAAGAGTAAAGGACACTGAAAAGATGATGGTTTCAATGGACTGCAAGTCCTCAATGAGGTTGAAGGATTTCTGGAGTCAAGGTATTAAAGGGAGTGAGCTAGAAAGATAGGAAATGGTGGTCAGAGATAGAATACATAAATAGAGCTTGTGGAGAGATTCCTGTTATTGATCATAAGAAAGATATTACTATGGGGATGGGTTGTTAATATAAAAAAAAGGATAAAGTTACTGGAGGACAGGAGTTCAAGGAACCAAAAAGCCAGGGTATTAATAGGGTCATCTACACATACATTAAAATCACAAAGACCATGTTAATAATATAGTACCTACCTCATAGGATTGCTTGAGGCATAGTCAATATATACACACTGCTTAGAATAATAGTTGCCATTTGTAAAAATGGTATGGCAGAGGCGTCTGACCTCCTCGTCTAACTTCATAAAGGGCAGGAAAGAGAATCATTATCAGCATCAACAGCCCAAGGCTGATTGCTATAAAGAGGAGGTCAAACATACCTCCTCTCTCCAACCTTTTACCAATTCTGAAACCATCTGTCCCTCCCATGGCCCCCTCTACTTCTCTGCTGAGTTTAATAATTCATTGCAATGGCCACAAAGAACTCACAGACCGTATTCACGATTATGGAGTTTATTAGGGAAGTAACAGGTTATAATTCAGGATCAGGAAATACTTAAGATACAGTTCTTTGATCAGGACAGCCTCTTCTCAGCTATGCTTGCAGGCAGGCCTCTCTCTGGCCCTCGGCCCCTTGGCCCAGCCTCTGCCCTGCTTGCACAAGTGTTACGAAGGTCTTTAGCTCCACCAATAAGTGCCCAGGAGCACCCTACTCTGCCAGGAAGCCTCAGCCCAAAGTTGCTCAGCTCTCTTGCTCCCTGGGCTTGGAAGCACACCATGCCGTCTCAGGCCACTCTTCTGGTTCTGCTGCCTCTGCTGCCGCTGCTTCTTGCTCTCGCTACTGCTGCGTCACTGTCTCTCGCTTTCTTCCATGGTACAGCTCCCTCTGTCTCTTGGGTCTAGGAGGGTCTCAGTGCAGGGATCCCAGGTCCAAAGGACTCACTCTGCTTCCGTCTCTTCTTCTTGGTAGTAGTCAGGTCCCCCTCTGCTCTGGAATTGGCTCTTTTTTAAACCTAGCAGGATGGCAAAACTGACTAATTCCTTCATAAGGGTTCCATACACCTTATTTCCATGGTCCCACCCCCATGCAGGGTGCCATGCACTTTATTTACATTATTAGCAAGCTATCCAATCCCCCTGATGGGCCACAAGCACCTTATTTGCATAGACCCACCTAGTCATTTTGTGGGAGTTACAAAGACTGGCTATAAAGGCCATATTAAGTAATTCACTGCACCATACCATTTATGTATTTGCTATTTATTATTGTTATTGTTTGACCTACTTTGATTGTGATTATCTCAAACTTTTTGTTTATACCATAATTTTATTTTTAGCCCTGTATAAGAACTATTATATGTGAGGTGCTTAGAAGAGTATTTGTTGCTTATATGTGCTTGCTTAATTCCTCTGCTTTCATTGTGGTTGTCTCAAGCTCTTTGTTCATGTCATTTATTTTTAGCCTTCTGTATTCTGTTTCTTGGTGTTTCTTATTTGTTTATTAGTTCTGTAATGATAGATTTTGGTTCTCACTTTGTTTTCTTAGCATTACACTCTTTTCTCATCTAACTCTGTTGTGTTTTATTTAAAACTGTCTGCCTTTTGTATTCTATGTTCCTTTCTTCTTCTTTTTTTTTTTTCTTAAAAGTTATTTTGACTGTACGATATTTAATTTGTCACTGTCATTTCTTTTTGTCTTGTCTTTGGTTATTTGGGGCAACTCTGTCAAGATTTTATAGTTGCTCTGATACGGTGTGGGTGAAGTCCTTTAAGTATCATTCCCAACTGATGTCAACTTATCTCCTTGGAACAACAGTTTTGTATAGGCTCCACTTTTTGGAGCCTAAGGACTTGGAAGTAGAAGGGAGAGCCCTGCTGGGGTGAGCATTCTTCATGTTAAATTCTGCTCTCACTTCTGAGATTCCAATAACTACCCCATATAAGGGCCCACTCCCCTAAGTCAGGGGTGTGTACCACTTCCATGGGCATCTGCCTCTTTCTTTGGCAGGATGCAGCGCCCTAGAAGAGGCAAGCCTGGCAGCCCTGACTGCTTCTCCTGAGATCTGTAGGAGCTTCTACTCTAGAAGATTTTGCCTTTATTTATTCCCGGGGTTGCCTACTCACCCCCTCTCTCCAAAGTGGAGGGTATTAGTAAGGATTCTCAAGATTTTGTCAACTCATTTTCTTTTCTCTCCACTGCTTGTGGAGTGGGATTAGGATCTGTGCCACAGTATTCTGCCCCAGCAGCAGGATCTTCCAAGATTATTTAGTTTCCTTGTTCTCAACTTTTCAACCTCTTGGTTTAGCTACTTTTGATTTTTTTTTCCTGTTTAAAAAATAGCACTATTTTTGTTTATTTCATTAGGAGAGTGAGATTCTGATAGTGTTTCCTCCTACCATCCTAACCCCATAGTACTCAGAATCTATATTTTTAAAAAAGTCTTCCCCAGATGGTTATTGCAATCAGCTGTGTCTGGGAACCACGGTGTTAGACGACATAGAATTGGGCAGATGAGGAGAGCTGTCCGAGCTCTCTTTTGATTCATACTGTACAGGTCGTAAGTTTACATCTTGGTATTGTTCTATGCTGAAGAGAAATTTCTTTTACCAACTGAGAATCCATGCATTTCCCTTTGGATGGAATATTGTTAATGATGATTGAAGTAGATCATCTGAAAGCTCTCGTTTTTCTTCCAGATGTGTGACAGTGCAGAAGAGGGAGTGGATGGAGATACAGTGAACATGTTTGTGGTACACCCAACTACTCCTGCACAGTATTTCCACTTACTTAGAAGACAAATGATCCGGAACTTCAGAAAACCCCTCATCGTCGCTTCTCCTAAGATGTTACTCAGATTCCCTGTAAGTAGAAAAAGCTGGTTAATCATCCTTTCTCCTTTTATCATTTTATTGTACTCTATTTTTCCCTATTTTGTGATATGATTATATTTCTTAATTACAGAAACATCTTTTTCGTTTTAATTGGACTTAATGTTTTCATCTTTTTTTTTTAACTTTTCAAGAATAACTGAAATAGAGCTAGCTCTGAGTTTCCATTGTGATGAAGGACAGGGATACTATCACTCTGGTATCCTAGTATGAGCAGAAGGAATTTTTTAGAAAAAATTTTGAAGTCCAAATGGTCTAAGCACTATCATATTGATAGGAGCAAGTTGGGAATTTAAAGTATTTTTGGTGAAAATGAGTAGTATTATTCATCAAACTTAGATTTTTTCTGTTAAATGATTTATCTATCACAAGTGGAATCCTGTTTCAGTAAGCATAAATGTTATAACAATAAAGCTTATAGTTACAGTGCTTTAAAATGGACATTTCCCCTTGATTTACCTTAACTAAGTGCACAATATATTTTTAAATCACAAAAATATATTAGTTTTCAAGTAGCAGTATTCAAGATAATAAATAATACTAAACTCGAATTTATCCCACCTGCTGTTATTTTCTCAGTGTCATATGAGTTTTAATTAGGATTAACATTTAAAATCTTTTGCATTTATTTGGATGCTACTGTCGAGGTGAAATAAGACATTTAGAATATCTTGTGCGGCTCACAAAAGTTTTAGAGTGTATATTTGGAATTGAGGGGTGTTGAGGAAAGTGGATGTGATTTGCTTTCAGCCAGTTGTCTTTTTAAGCAGTTGCTAGCATTTGGAGGGGGGTGAGGAGACACTCTCTCAGGGTTGTCATGCAAGTGTACGGCTGGTACTTACAGGAACTTAGAGGAAGTGCCTCCTTACATTTTGCACTCTGGTCACCTCACTTGCCTCACCATGGTTCCAACCCTGGGAGTCAGTGTGGAGAAAATCCACTTCAAGTTATTTCACCCATGATGGTGGTTCATTCCTACTGGCCTACTTATTCTCTCTTACCCAGTGTTCCTATAAACAACTATTTTGGGACAGCTTCCTGAGCCTAGAAGCATCACAGGACATTCGTGAAAAGTTAATGCAATCCCTTAAACATAGTTTTTCTGATGGAGCTCTTTTGACACAGATATTTTGAGATAGCAGTGTTAAAGGACTAAGTCAAAATGTAAAATCATTATGATTTATTTCAAGGAAATATATACACCTGGGATTCTTGATCCAACTTTCATTGTATCCCTAAGATTTTCACTTCCTCCTTCAACCATAGCTATAAAGGAGCTTCAAACCCACTGCTGTCGAGTCGATTCTGACTCATAGAGACCCTGTAAGACAGAGTAGAACTGCTCCAAAGGGTTTCCAAGGCTGTAATCTTTACGGAAGCAGACTGCTACATCTTTCTCTCAAGGAGCGACTGGTGGGTTCGAAACGCTGATGTTTCAGTTAGCAGCCACGCACTTAACCACTGCCCACCAAGGCTATAAAGGAGCTTAACAATATTAAGCATTATGTATGTATATTACTGAGTGAACTATTAGAAATTTTACTGAGAATTTTTTTGCTGTTTGAAACTGAGAATAAGAGATCATATTTTAGCCCTTATATTCTACCCTCCTCCCCAACTCTTATATAATTTATCCATCTGTACTTGGGAGTCTTAAAAATATAGCAACAGCTATCCTCTAGATTTTTAAGTGAAAAACTGACTACTACTATGAAGCGGTCTTCTTCATTAAACAGATAGATAATTCTGCTAATTAACTGAAAATGAGTCTGACTGTTATTGAATTCTGCTTTCTCCTTGAAAATTGAATTATTGGTACAAACGACCTTTCAGAATACAAACCAGCCTTTTATTTCAAGACCTATTCAGAAACAATTTACCATGTGACAAACATGACTCAGGGCTGTATATAGTTTGTGTCTCAAGTTGTACCTAAATCCCACTCCATTCCTCACTCTGTACCCCAGCTCCTTTCAATTCCTACCCTAAGGAAGTGAGGACCACAGTTTAGAATGGAGAAAGATTGCCTCTATTACAGATTATTTGGTAGTAAGAATACTTGAATATTTGATATTTATTTTTTACATTATATCAAAATATCCCAGCATCAATGTGGCTGCTTCACAGTGGCCTAGTCAAAATGTCATATACCCATTTGGGGACTAGAATATACAGCAATCAACTAGACGAAAGAAAAAGCGATCGCATCTCCAACTTTGGCTTTATCACTTATCTAACTTAAATTATTTTTAACAAGTATATATGTAAATTCAGGTAGATGACCATAAATTAGCTTTTATCATAGAAATATCATGTATTGTTCCTACTTGTACTGACAGAATAGGTTTGACTTATAGTAAAAAAAAAAACAAAAACACTAAACTAAAAGCAGAAACCATAATTGCCTGAGTTTAGCTGTTTTGGTTCACAAAAAAAATTATATAAAATGATGTTTCTAATTTTAAAAATTAAATATATTTTTACTGATAGTAAAGTTGTATGATCAAACTGAAATTTTTATTCTTAAAATTTTATTGTGGCATCTTTACTGTAGAGCCAGACAAAAGACAATCTCATATAAAAACCAGTTGCCATTGAGCGGATCCCAAGCCATGGCAACCCCATGCTTATCAGAGTAGAACTGTGCTCCTTAGAGTTTTCAATGACTGATTTTTCAGAAGTAGATCACCAGGCCTTTCTTCCAAGGTAACTCTGGGTGGTTAGCAGCCAACCACGTTAACTGTTTTCACTACCCAGGAATGCCAGTCTTGATTAACCTAAAAAATAATTTGTATACAGACTGATATTTTAAAACAGGAAAAGACACTCTGTTTATTAGTACATATGTTTCTTTGTTGTGCTAGGCTAGAATTTTTGGCCCTATTTTTGGTAAAGATTTCTTATGACTGAAAGCGTCTTCAGCTTATTTTCATTGGTTGATAAATTTGTGGCTTCCCCTCCCCTCTCCTTAGGCAGCTGTGTCAACTCTCCAAGAAATGGCACCAGGAACAACTTTCAAACCAGTGATTGGTGATTCATCTGTGGATCCAAAAAAGTAATTTGATGTGTACCTCTGTTTTCATAACGTACATGCAACAGAATTTTAATTGGTGTGAAAACTAAAAAAGCCCGCAAAATCAAACCCTTGGCCAACGAGTTGATTCTGACTCACAGCAACCCTACAGGACAGGGTAGAACTGCCTCATAATGTTTCCAAGGTTGTAATCTTTACGGAAGCAGACTGCCACTTCTTTCTTCCACGGAGTGGATGGTAGATTCAAACTGCCCACCTTTTGGTTAGCAACCAAGTGCTTAACGACTGTGACATCAGGGCTCCTAGGTGTGAAAACTAGTTCATGTTAAATAATCTAAAGTGACCAAAATCTCCTCTACCCTGATGTTTTAATTTCCTAGGGCTGCTGTAACAAAACACCACAATCTAGGTGGCTTAAAACAACAGAAATTTATTCTCTCACAGTTCTGGAGCTAAAAGTCCGATATTAAGTATCATTAGAGCTGCTTCCTTCTGGAGGTCCTGAGGGAGAATCTGTTCCATGCCCCTCTCCTAGCTTCTGGTTGTTCTTTGGCTTGTAGATGCCTCACTCCAGTCTCTGCTTCCATCATCTTATGGCCTTCCTCCCTGTGTGTCTTCGTATGGCTTTCTTATGAGGACACCGGTCACTGGAGTTAGGGCCCACCTTAATCTTAACTGATTACATCTGCAAAGACCCTATTTCCAAATAAGGTCACATTCTGAGGTTCCAGGTGGACATGAACTTTTGGGGAACACTGGTCAACCCTGTACATTGCTCATTAGCGACTCATCTGTGGATCCTAAAAGTGCAATTTGATGTGTATCTGTTTTCATACTCTGCAGTAGATTTTTAATTAGTGTGAAAACTAGTTCACGTTCAGGAATCCCAAGTGACTAAAGCCTCCTCTAACCTGATATAGGTTTTTTTAGTTGGTAGAGTAGGAGTTAGGGTACACATTTGAAGAGTAGACTTCGGAGGCATTTGCCCCTAAAGAAGGATTGCTACGGCATAACATATGACTGACCCCAACTACACAGCATCCCACTGCTTCATTAGCGAAGCATTTAAACCTACATTGTCTTCCTTTCTTCTGACAAAAGGGCCTTTATTCTATAGGATAAATTTTTTGATTACAACTGAATACTGAGCACGTATCTTGCTTTAAGATACTTTTCTCCCCACTAGAACACTTATACATTGTTGGTGGGAATGTAAAATGGTACAACCACTTTGGAAATCAATGTGGCACTTCCTTAAAAAGCTAGAAATAGAAGTTCCATGTGATCCAGCTATCCCGCTCCTTGGAATATATCCTAGAGAAATAAGAGCCATCACACGAATAGATATATACACACCCATGTTCATTGCAGCACTGTTCACAATAGCAAAAAGATGGAAACAACCTGTGTGCCCATCAACGGACAAATGCATAAACAAATTATGGTATGTCCACACAATGGAATACTACTCAATGATAAAGAA